GAAGTAGAAATCCTTAGGGACAAAATGATAATTTTTGAGATTCCTTACACTAATTAAGATTTAGATCAAATCAAACAGTAAATGGGTAATTTTAATCATAGTAAACTCCCTGAAATGATTAAAATACAAAGGGTTAAAGGTAGAAACCAATTCACACCATTTCTATAGAAGGGTAAAAATGTGACTTTTTAAATTGTTCTGATTTGGAAGTTAATTAAATGTAGAAGATCCTAATGTGAGGAGCTTAGGCTAGGAAGATAATAACCCACTAATTGGAAGCCCCAACCAATGGTTAAATAATAATTCAATGTTTTAATAAGGATTAAATTCATTTCATTTAACATTTCAAAATTACAAATCTACCCATAAAGACTTAAGAGCTCAGCAATGAATTAGGTTTGACCTAGAATCATCTAATGAGGTCTAGAAAAGAGATAAGATCAATCATAAGCATCTTCGAAACACTACAAGCACAACCTCAATTGAAAGAGAGGATTCACTTAATAATTTAGTTTGCCCTTAAGGGCGTCCACTACCATAATTTCTAAATGAACATGGGGTGAATGTTTAGTTGTCCCACTCATGGTGTGATTAAAACATTAAATATTTACTGTATATAAGACTAAAACATTACAACTAAACTTTAAATCAACTAAGAATGATTAACTCAACAAGGCAATAAGTCCAAATGAACTCGAAATGATTCAGAATGTTATAAAAGATGTTTAGGGTTATGCCCCAAACACTTTTACATTCTTTTGGATATTTTGGAGGACATCTGAACCAATTATCCTTTGTTGAAGAAAATCATCTTGAATATTCTTAGGGACCCACCAAGATATGCCCCGAGACCCGTTAATTCACAAATTCCAATAAAATATCTGGCACTATATATCCTACATTTGTAACCTGATGCTCAAGGATTTCTTTTATAAGGTAATCAGATTCTTGTGAGCAACTGGGGACATTTGTTAATGTCATATATGGATCACCAGACTTGTGTAAGTCAGAGGTTTACGTGGCGAGGGCGATGACGACATTACTTATGTGTGATAAATGAGGGATACAAAGTGGGATTTGAAATAGTATCTCCTATCTCTATGACCTCCAGGGAGAGGATAAGATTAACGATACTATTCACCAGCTTTTGGTAGAAGTTGCCCCTAACATTCCTAGGTAACCGGTAGTTCTAGTCTGATTAGAGTAATTTGGTAGATTGAAATTAGACAAATCAAGAGAAAAGATTCTAACAAATGAAGAGCATAAAACACATTAAAATTATGGTTAAACAAAAATAATATTAATGAAGCACAAACAACCCACATAGATTTGAGAGTAGGTTTGCTTCTCCACACTATACTTTCACACAAAAACACTCTTATCTTAAGCACACACACACACACACACACACACACACACACACACACCTTTTTTTCAAACACACTACAACATAACATATGGTTCCTATTTATAATGTCAAAACTCATAAGAAACTCACATGACACTAATTTTACTATTCAATAACATATCATAAATTTAGTAAGTAAAAATGACATGTTATCTTTCTCCTGCCAAGAAAAGTTTCTTAAAGTGACATAAAGTTCACTTCAAAGATAAGCCAAAAACTTTCTTGGCAAAATATCCTTCTTGATCAAGTAAGAAGCTTCATGGAATTTTAAAAACTTTCTTGGCAAAATCTCCTTCTTGATCAAGTAAGAAGCTTCATGGAATTTTTAACCTATTTCTCATGGTCATAATTATTGTTATTTAACCTACGATAAATGTCCAATAATTTTTTGTTCTTTGTAAAAAATTTAAATCTATAGAAGTAATTAAGGGGCAAGCATTGATCCATAAATATTTTTTTTCGTGTTAGTTTCACCAAATAAAGAATAATCATAATAATCTTATTATCGATCCCACTGCCAATCAGAACCTTGAATTGTAGCCCTCCAATGGTCCAACTGGGCTTCAATAGGAACCGATAAATAATCATCATCAATTTACTCAGAAGCATAAGCATATTTATTGTAACTAAATGGTTGATAAACATGACTAATCCCTTGGCATAATATTTTATTAAAATGTCTGGATGGTTCAAATCATTCACCATGTCATTCTGGTGGAATGAAATTTATCTTAACTTCAATTGGTGAATTTCAATACATAAGAGCATGACATATTTTAGATTTAGCTTTTCTTCCAAACATGTGAGTTTGGGTTACATAATCTACCCATATACTGCCAACCACTCCAAAACTCATTAGCAAAGATAAATCTATTGTTATATTGTCATTTTCCACCTCAGAAAAAATAATTACATGTATATAAGCTTTATAAATTAAAATTTTCAACTGGCATTGACACCTAGTATATCTACAAATTTTGTTACATATGTTAGATGTATTATAACATTGTTGATCATAATTAAAACAACTTTCATTATTAGAGTATAACCCTAAAATTGAATAATGTTTAGTGGTCACCTTCTTAAGCATTTCATGTATCACACAAAATTGATGAAATCTTATTTCATTTGGTATATATATTAGCTTGTTATGATATCATTCAGAAGATATCCTTGATAAATTCCAATGGAATATATCATTATATTTCGGGAACTAATCTCAATAATTATATTATTTACTATTCTATTATCATTGCTATTTATTTCTTCTATTATAGTTCATTCTAGAGAGTTAAGAAATAGCTTGATTCTTCATTTTATGGTATCATTTATATCGTACAAATGTAAGAAACTTTCTACGTTTTTCATCAACTACTCTGAAATTGTACAACCCTTTCTAAGAAGATTTCCCTTTGTACAAATCTGTTTGTTCTTTTGCCTCCTTCCATGTTGCATGACTCTTGATTTTGGTGGAGAAAAGATAATATAATATAAGAACGTTTTACCTCTTGGTTTCCTGATGGTTGTAAGAAAATAGTCAATTAAGACTTCTATGACTTTATAACATTCGGGTCATCCATTGTTTATAAAATGTCATATATTATCTATAAAATAGTGATGTATTCCATCCAATTCATTTGTTTTAGAAAGCTGATATCATTCTTCTCCTTCATATATTTTTAGTTCGTAGTCTCCAAATTTCATATAACTCATTCATTCCGTATGTGATTGTTCAATTCCTATAAAACAAAATTCATTATAAAATTTTGCAATAGCGAATAACTCGGTTGTTCTATTTAAATCAAATTGTCTTGATAGTTGATATGCTAAGAATTATCATCATTTTTTATATGTTCTCATATTATATTTATTCTTCTATTAGTGATAAGAAATTTTAACCATCTTTCGGAACTCAAATTATGTATATTTGATGATGGCTTCACAATCTGTTCTCATGATGGTCTCCATTTTATGACAAATGAAAAAGTAATAAGTTACCAAGTTATTGATAATTGCAATAAAGTCATAATCCAAAGAGCTTAAATACTTCTTCTTTTATGAAGTCTAGAAACATGTCTGCAAATATTTTATTCTTTCTTGTCGTCGAATTGATTAGGTTTCCTCATTAGAGTTCACCACCACCATTTTCACATCCACCGGATTCATTGATCAGAAAATATGTATCTAATGGAAGAGATAAGTTTGGATGTTCTGACACCATCTTTTTGATTTGCTGCACTAACAAAACATCTTTCTGATTAAACTTTCTGAAGCATTTCAAAGATGTTTTAATATACAAAAGTTGCATAGTTTGATAACCCTAAAAGGGATCTTAGTAACTTTAAATCATCTAATTTATGTGACTGTTTGAAAATTTTTAAAAGAATTGTTATATGTGACCTAACATAGTTTGATAACCCTAAAAGAGATCTTAGTAACTTTAAATCATCTAATTTATGTGACATTTCTAAAGTCTCTTTGAGATCTCTTGAAATGTTTCTAAAGATATTATCTATTTTTCTTTAGAATATTTTCGGAGTATTTTTTAAGACAAGATACATTACTAACCATTCATAGTGATCATCAAGACATGTAGAAGCAATCCATTCCATAAACTAAAAACTTGTGATGCATATTTGGTTGCTAAAACTCTGATTTTAAATTAAACTTACTTAAATCATCTCGCATTTTAGATTTTATTTATGAGTTGTTCTTTTGAGAATGTTGTCATTTAATCTTTTATAATTTAAAATCATTCTAGATTGTCCTATGTTGTTTGCTCTCTTTGATAACTATCATGGCAGGGAGAAAATATTACATCAAGACTTCTAGTTTCCTAATGAAGTTTATGCTCGGAGTCCAATGATGGGGCGCCACGTGTCAAGTGAGTTCCACCGTAATACAATGACATTGACCAGTGCTAAAAATAGTGGAGCTCACTTGACAAGTGACCCCCCACCATTGGACTCCGAATACATTACGAGTCCTGACGTAATATTTTTCCCATGACAGACTCCTATATCTTGATTTTGATAATTTGATATTTTTAATAATTGGGTAATATACATTTATCAACCTTCTATCTCGCAATTATTATACTTTATTTCTCCTTTAATATTCATATTTAGAAGCATTTCATAGAATATTCTCCAATAATTTCTAAATTATTCAGATTTTCTCCTATATAAAATTTTATGGTGAAGTCTACACAGCCATAGTTAGAAATAATTGGGATTTATTTATAATTTAACTTATCAAATATTGGATCTTAATAAGAAATGAAGGGCCATAAGAAGACATTAATAGCATTTTTTACATTATTATTTAACTTATCATCCATTCATTTATTCATCCAAATGTCTTAACATAAAATTCTCATATCCTTTTCCCAATCAAAAATAGAAAAGTGGAAATAAGAAAAGTTAATTAATTACAACACCACAGTTAATTAATATAAATGCATAAAAAATTTGGCGAAAGTGAAAAAAATATGGTATGGAAGGCATCAATAAGCCAAAATTTGAATTATAATAACAATATTATGACATAGAACATGTCAACAAATGTTGCATTCCTTGTGCAAATGTACCAAAAACAATCAAATGTTTTATTAGTGAATTAGTGCCCATCAATATATTTTTTTTTATTTTCACACAATAATTCATAGCAAAAAAATAGTATTATTTAAATAAAGAAAAAAGAGGTAGAAACTGCCTTCACTGAACTCTTATAAATCGATTACGCTGCTGCGGCTAATGGTACTGACCGATAGCAAGCTCGCTTTGCTGCACGGACAATGTCCTCAACCTATACATAATTCAATGAGTTCTTTAAGAACCATTTAATTAACATTCAGGGGCATTTACATATACACCACAAAGATCATATGTATTTACATATATAACACCCAAGCATTCATATTTACATGCATACGACTCAAATCTTTAACATCACATCAAAAAATGTTCCCATCAATATATCTTTTTAAAAGTGAAATATATCTTTTAATGCATAAGTTTAAGAGAACAAAGCGGTATAATTGCAAATATCAAACTTTGGGCGTTAGATAAGTAAAAACAAAGGAATTGTGTGTTATTGATGTAAATTTCCCTAACATTAAGGTGCCATGCTAAACAAGAGTATTGGAACATATGAGAAGTAACTCGAGTGGTTTACTGACCTGAGGAAGAGCCAGCTTCTCCAGATTTGCAGCATATGGCATTGGAACATCCGCTCCTGCAATCCTCTCGACCGGAGCGTCGAGATACTCGAAGCATTCCTCAACGACGACGGCACTGAGCAACAGAAGGTTATATTAGAGGGAGATGGTTCGTTCGTACCCAGTGAATCAGGTCCAAAAGTGTACTTGAAGCGAGAGGATGAGGGAGTATACTTTTACAATGTAGATGATTAGAAGAGCATTTAAATATAAAGGCATTGTATTTACACGTCTAACACCTAAACTTGCTCGTAACATTTATACCACCCAAATCTTTCATATAATATAAAAAATACCACTATTTTTACTCTTAAAAAAAATGAAATAAACCTTTCATGCATAGGTAAGGTGGCATATATGTAAAAATTGAAGTTAGGTCCTAGATTAATAAAACCATAGGAATTAAGAAGTGGATTGAGTGGCATATATGTAAATTTTTAAATTTAAAACTTTCATGGGGTTAGATATGCTGGGAGTGCAGAGAGAGAGAGAGAGAGAAAGAGAGAGATTCTTAATGGTATTGAACCAAGACTTCCCATGACTTCTAGATCGAAAATGGAAGCTACTTATCCCTTGCTGAGGGATGGCGAGGAGAGACAGATTATTAATAGTATTCAGGTTGGGTTAAACGTTTTACCAAATCTCTGCACCAACACCATGCTGTGGGAAACCTTCTTCTACCGTGACCAATCTGTTGGTTTTCTTCACAGAAGAAATGATAGCATCTCTATCAAGCGGTCTGATAGAACGAAGATTTATAATCTGCAAAATAAATACTTGATGAGTTCCTCCAAACTGAAATTAGAAAGATAAATACTCACCAAAATATAGTTGGTTTAGTTCGGTTAAACAATTCACTTTAAATGGACGATTACCTCAGCACTAATCCCATCCCTGGAGAGAATCTCAGCTGCCTGCCAACAAGATAAACCAAAATAGTTTAGAAATGTAACCAAATAACAAAAGGATTTGAAGAATTCTTAAAATCATACATGCCACTAGTTTTAATATGTTAAGGACTAAGGAGAATGAACAACTTTGATCTTGCATTTGATGAAACATAATATTAAGTTATAATTAAAAGATGCTAATTCTCTTTATACACACACACATACACGCGCGAGCGCGCGCACGCACACACACACATACATATATATATATATATATATATATGACCATACATTTCTAAGGATTCAACTATGAAAAATAGCCTCTGCTCAACTGATTAATTAGGAAACATTGATTGCCAAAATCCAAGCACTCTACTAAAATAGCTTAAGCATGAGCTTCATATACCTTAGCTTATTGACTTAAGAACTGTTTAATATAAAATTTCAACTTTCGATTTAAATCGCTCATTGACTTAATATAAAATTTCAACTTTTGATTTATTTTCTTGGATTGGATTTATTTCCTTTCTTATTTTATGTTATTGCCTTTATCTCTAAATAACTATTATGAATTGATTAATTGAAGATATTAGGTGTTATCTTGCCTTCTTTGTTATTTCCTTTTTCCTATCTTTCTTATTCTAGGGTCATCAATCCCAAGAGTACTCTTGTATGAGCATACCTAATAATAAAGGTTCTGATAAAATTTCAGCCATTACATCAACGGTGCATCGATGTTTAAAAGTTTAGCTTCATTCTACTTAAGGATTTCAAAGGACATATATTTGAGGTGACTGAATTGGGCACAAAGATTTTTGGTAAGATGGGCTATGAAAGGATTTATGATGATGTGAAATGGGAGATAAAAAGTAAAATGAAAGAAGTTACAAGAATTTCACAAAAGTTTATGATCGTGCAACTAAAATTCATACATTAAGTGAGAGTAAAGTGTATTAAAAATCCACAAACTATTTAGATGGGGCCATTTTAATTCCAAAGTCTATAAAGTGTCAAATAAGTCCTCAGACCCTTTAAATTGAGGCTGAAATAGTCCACTGTTGAGACTGTTGCAGCTCATATTAAAAGAGTTTGAGGACTAAATTGACATTTTTACAGACTTTGGGACTTAAATGACACATTGCAAAGATTTGGGAAACTATTTTGACACTTTTCTCCTTTAAGAGATGAGTAAACTTAACTAACCACAAAAGTGGATCTAACACATCTCAAATAGAAAATCAAGATCTGTTAGCATGTGATAATACCACGAGAGAATTTCAACATAACATATTTTGTAGTTATACATATATATCTTCAGAGTATTGCAAACGCAATGAAAAGAAATAATTACCTTGAGATCATAAGATAGTGAAATTTGAAAGGTCAGATATTATTAATGTTTTGAGATACTTTATTTGAACCAAATAAGATAAGAGGATAAGATGAATAGTTTCATCAACAGCCTATACAAGTTTTAGAAGGATCTAAAAATAGAAAATAGGGGAGGGGTAATAAACAAATGTTCATAACTGCGTGATAATATGAATTTTATTATAAATTTTGAAATAAATTATATGAATTATTTATTTAACATTTAAACTATTCAATTTATTTCGCTTGCAATTCATTCTTTTTATTAAAAAGCCAATCATAATATGAAAAATATTTAAATTCATTCTTGTTATTAAAAAGCCAATCATAATATGAAAAATATTT